GTTTCAATGGTTGAAATTTTATTTATGAATTTTTAAATAAAAAAGATAATTATCTTTAATAAATATGATAAAAAAATAAATAAATTTCATCCATTGAAATTGGAGAAATGGATAGTTGAGATTTTGTATAAATATAATATGTAAGATTTATATGTAAATGGATTCTTACTATATATATTAGTACTAAACCCTCTAGTATTTAGAAGTTATATTAGGTTCTAATTAATGAAATCACTTCGTGTCCCAAAGTATCTGTTTTTTAATTTATAAGAGGCGAACTCCAGACTTTACTTAAAAAGAATCGAATCCTTTTCACTCAGACTAATAGTTTATTGGATATATATATATATATATGTTACTTAAATATTTATACATTTATGATATCTATATAGTATTGTAATATTACCAAAGTAGAGAATGAAAATTTTTTTTATTCCATAGAAAAACATTTGAAACTATAGTATGTGATGTCAAATACACGTATGCAGTCAACATAACACTTAAACATTGACTATTAGTAAATTATTTTACATCACTTTGCAGTGTCAAATATGTCAAATGTTTATATTTTTTTTTAATGCAGTGTAAAATATTATTTGATAAAAGTTTATTTTATGTAGGCATTTGACAACACTAATCTTATGTCAATTAATTTTTGATATCGTATATTAACTATTTGACACTATATAGCCATTTTTCTAGTGGTGTAATTAATTGGATCTTTCCTTAGATAATAGAGTCACCTGAAGATTGGATTTAGGCCATTAACCTTCATACTTCAATGAGGACACAACAGAGTCACGATTAAAGATCAAGATAATTAGTGTTACCTACAATTTTAGCAGAAGAAATTGGGTTAAATTCCCTTTTTGGTCCCTCTACTATAGGAAAAAAGCCCTTTTTTGGTCCCTATACCGAAAAAATCCCTTTTTTAGTCCTTACTGTTCACAAATCCAGCCCATTTTTAGTGCTTCCGTTAAATTTTGGCTGATGTGACAGGTTAATTAACGAAAAAACTCATTTTTTTTATTAAATTACGTCGAAAATCCATCTGGCAAAAAATGATGACATAGTTAAATTTTTTACTTTTAATTACTGATTTGCCCTCAAAGATTGATGACATGGTAAATTTTTTTCCTTTAATTACTAATTTACCCTCTTCTTTCTTCCCCAGCCTCTCCTTCCTCCGGCCTTTTCTTTTTTTTCTTTTTCTCCTTTTACCTCTAGGTGAACCCAAGAGTCTGAGTTCGCGAGGAACCCAGCTCGCGGGTTTGCACCCAGGAGCCTAGGTTCGCGAGGAACCCAGCTTGCAGGTTTTTGCACCCAGGAGCTTGGGTTCCTCGCGAACCCAGCTCGTGGGTTCACACCCAGGAGCCTAGGTTTGCGAGTAACCCAGCTCGCGGGTTTGCGACGAACCCAGGTCTTGGGTTCGCGACATACCCTCATCTTCTTCCCTTCCTTACATCCTTGGATTAATTCGCCTTTCAACCTGATTTGTTGGGAATTCAGTCCAGCTTCGTTCGGATCTCGATTTCGAATTAATCGATCAAAATGTACGAATTTGAAGCTATGACCTTCAACATCCATGGTGGGTATTTGGAGGCGATCGTGAGGGGCTACGGGCCGGCCTCCTCATTGCCGCCAATGACAACAACCTCTGCCAGTGCGAGACCCTCGACGACATCAAGATGCACCTTTCCGCTACTGAATACGGGCCTTATCTCCAAAATGGTACGTTTCGGTTTCTTCATATCTATTAATTTTATTGACGCTGTTCGGAATTTTGATATACAATTTGAAGTCAAGTGCACGATCATGAATTGAGTATTGAGCTGAGTGTGATGAGGTCGAATGGCGTTTAATTATAGTAGGAGAGAGTTCTGCCTGATGTAATTCGATGTTTTGTGTTTTTTCTGGATATGTAATGCCTTGTTTGTTTGTTATGGTTGCCTTTTAGGTTTTGCTGAGTTCATAAAATTCTTTCTAAATACAACTAAACTGTTTTTAAAAAAAATCCTATAAAAAAAAATTCAACATAAACAGTCATTAGAATGCTTAAGATCTACCTCTCACAAAATAAGCCACCTTGTCAATTTT